GTCCAATTAATTTCTTTCCATTTTTTGGTAGAGACGGGGTCTCGCTCTTGCTCAGGCTGGTCTCGAACTCCTGAGCTCAGAACAATCCGCCCGCCTCGGCCTCCCAGAGTGCTAGGATTACAGGCGTGAGCCACCTCGCCCAGCCATATCTGATATCTTAAAAAATAAAAAAAAGTTAATGAAATAGTTGAACTTTGCTTCTAACAAATCAGGATGTAATTTATTAAGCAATTCCTGGCTCCAGAACTGATTTTGGAGGGGCTACATACAGGCAGGCATCTACACAGACCCACGCTCACAACACTCCAAAATGAGACCAGCGATGTCAAGCCAGAATCAAGAACTGACCCTGTCTAATCAGACGCCAAGAAACAGCTGGCCCGGCCTTGGCTTTTGGCCCACAGACCTCAACGAAGACTGCGCAAACAGCATCCACCTCTCCATTGTCGGGTCTCCTCTCAGAGCCCCGGAACCGTGCAGCCCGAGCTGGCTGGCCATTCTTCTGACCTGCTGGGCAATGCTCCCTGAGATGGGCTGGCTGTTTCCCTGCCATTTCTGATAGTCAGCCCTTTTCCCAACATCTTTCTCCAACTAAGTACAGATTGCAAATCACAGAAATAGCCCGGTGAGATGTGACCCTCACACACACCTTCAGGATACTCAGAGAACAGATCTCTAAAATACATTTGCAGAAGGATGCAGAAGAAAGCTTCAATGAACTGTGGTGCGTTCTATGAAGAATGCAGGAGGACGTTTCTCTATGAATCAGGAGCTAAAATGAAAAGACAACAGAGTGAGACAGAAAGGGAACCAGATGAGATGAAAGGGGCAAAGGATCAGATACAGAAAACTTAGAAAAAGTAACAAAGGCAGTGATGAGCTCAAAGGCCACAGTGAGGCAGTTAAGAAGAGAATTGGTGCAGTGGGAGATCGAATTAGGGATGTGAAAACAAACTGAAATTCTAGACTAGGACAGAGTAGGCCCTGGGGGCAGGGGTGGCAACGAGGCAGGCTGCTCTATGGCCAGGCTGCCCTAGGAGGGAACTGATTCAGTCGGCCCTCCACTGAATCCAAACTTCACAGAACAAATCCTTCTACTGTAAAATTTGGACTCAGTCAAAAGGCTGCACTCAAGGATCCAGAAGGCCACATGTGGCCCCAAGGCTGCAGGTTCTCCACCCCTGGACTAGGGCTTGCCAGGTACTCTTCCTGCTCCTGCCCCTTTCCTGGGAAGCAGATGGCAACTGTCCGGGGCCTGGACCAGGATAGCAGAGTGAGCATCAGGCAATCTGCCACCAGGGAGGGGTGTTGCCTATTGACTGGCACCCCCTGGGGCAGGGAGGGAGGGCCGTCGCCCCCTAGACACGCTGGGTAAAGCTATGAATGCGGGGCCGCTCCCAGAATCAGAGCTTCCAGTCTTACCGTGCCCACACCTTGATCCAGTCGCTCCTATGTCTTCCCTAGAGAGGCGATGTCAGGCCCCACACCTGCTGCCCAGCCTCGTCCCTGCGAGAGTGTGTGCTGGACCCCACTCCTCGACCCAAGGCCTCTTGTGCTGGTGATGCCATTTGCCTCCCACGTGGCCCTGCGCTGGCAGGCTGATGCCTACAGACTGCGACCCCCTTGCCCCCTGGCCCCCTTGCTGCTGGTGGGTTTAGCCAATTGGACACACCAGCAGGAGGAGGCCGGGTGGGGAGAGAGAAGGTGGGTATTTCTCTCTCATTCCACCCTGGTTGGGTGACACATCCGTGCGGAAGCTCCTGCCCCCTGGCACAGCTCCTTCTGGATGACCCCTCCACCCAGCTCCAACTCGGGGGACAGTTTCCTTTCTTCAGCCCTAAGGGAGAAGCTGGTTTCGCACAGGACCCCTCCCTCTCAGCTGCCCCCACTCCGAGATAGTCCTTCCTTTAAGCCTCTTCCCGGGAGCCTTTCGAATCGAATTCTGCTCCCTCCCCCTAACTGAGGGCCTCTCTGGTCACCCTCAGGGGGCCCCCTGCTCAGCCTCGTCTCCCACCACACCTGCAGGGTCATGGCTTCCAGAGCAGGATCCCCCCACTTGTGCAGTGGGGAGAAGGCAGGCCCCAGAGCCACCTGCCTGGAGGTGAGTGTGGTGTCGCCTCCCCAGCGCCCTTGGCGCTTCCCTGGCCGGTGTGCTGCCTCCCAGGATAATGCCCTCCATGGGCGCGAAAGACTCCAGGCTTCTTTGGGAGCTCAAGGTGGGGCCTAGTCCTGCTGGGCCAGGGCGTCCACATGTCAACAGCTACAGTACCAGGAACCAGACAGGCTCAGTGACTCCTCCCCACTGCCCACCCTGAGTCCCCTGAGCACTGCAGGAAAGGGAGTGGCTTCCTCCTCGGACACAGGAAAGCCTGAGGCCTTCCAGCACCTGGAACCTTCTTTGCCTCTGCTGCCTTCTGGCCGGCCCAACCCAGCTGGCCATTCCCAAGGAACCTTCTACATTTGATCTTCACTAAAAGGCTGAGAAGCAATCATGGGGAGTCTTCTAACACTGCAGAGGTGCCCACCCCATCCCAGCGAGCCACCTGCTTGGGGCTATTTCTCCAAGCCTGTGCTGGCTGTTATTGTCACCCCATGTGGGAGAGAAGCTGCAGATTCTCCAGGCAGCTTGGAGATGAGATGCTCGTGGTGAGGAAGGTGGCCAGGCCAGAGACCCAAGGGCTGCAAGCTCTCAGGTAATACCACCTAGGTAATGCCTGGAGGTTTCAAAACATTTTGTTACTTATTTTTTTTGAGACAGGGTCTCACTCTGTTACCCAAGCTGGAGTGCAGTGGCATCATCATAGTTCACTGCAGCCTCAAACTCCTGGGCTCAAGTGATCCTCCACCTCAGCCTCCCAAAGTGCTACAATTAATTACAGGTGAGAGCCGCCATGCCTGGACTCCTGTTACTTATTGAGTATTTCTCAATCCTTCTTGGTTTTCCAGCAGAAATCCCTGGCTGGGATGACATATTCCAGTTGCTACTGAGGAAGCAGTTGCAGGACTTTAAGTGTGGATGTAAAAGGAGAACTGGCTGTATTGTAACATCCTAAGCCAACAGGTTGAGGGGCTGGCCTTAAACCAGTGAGGGCTAAAGTTGGCAACGGGGGTCGTGCGTATTGTTTGTGGGCTAATAACAGGACAAGGGCTGCTGAGGAGCATAGCATGTGTAGCTTGGGCCCGAGAGGCCCTATCAGCCTTGGGGTACTAGCAGCTCAGGTATTATCCACAGGGAAAATCCTTTGGCTTCTAGAAGCAATTTGCCATTCCTCCTGTTTCTGCGCCTTGGGAAGACACACCTGCCTGGCCACCAGCAAAGCCAGCAGTGTAACCACACCCCCCCACACTCCCTGGTCTGCCACAGCCCTCCCCATGCCCTGGCAGGGGCCAACAGACAGAGCTGGGGCACTTCCCTTCATTGACACAGCCACCTGATCTCTGGGCCACAGAGGCAGGAGTGAGGCAGAGGAAGGTAGCCACGCCCTGGGCTAATGAGCATCCAAGGAAAGGGGACTGGAATTGTTCCCTGGGGCGCTGGCGGAAGTTGGGGGGTGGGAAGGGCCCTAAACTTCCTCAGCTGGAACATGTCTTAAAAGGGGTTTCTCACCTGTGTGAAGTCACTGTGTTGGCTACCCACCTACTTGAGAATCTGCTGCTGAAGGGCTACTTGGGGGCTAAGTTCCCAGGGCTTGGATACCAGCAGAAAAGCCAGGTGCTGCCTGCCACCTCCCCCAGTGACAGTTTTCCTCTGGAACTCTCCCACCAGGCCTGCGGGCCCCATGACCACACTGCTCCCGATTCCCCTGAGCGGGGTGCCGCAATCCACCTGATCTCACCAGACTGAGAGGCTCTTTATGTCCTTGATTTCCCCTAGCGGGACGCAGATGACAGGGAGGGGTACATAGGGTTGTCACCGAACCAAGGATATAGTGAGATTACTTTGGAATTACTTCAAAGTTTCCTGCTGGTTTCAGGAAAAGAGATTCTAATCTAAATTATATGCATAAGTTCTAAATTATATTTGTAATTTCACATTCAAAGCTCCATGGGGCATAGGAACCATAATCATTAGCAGCTTCAAGTGAAAAGAAAAACCACAACCGCCTCTTGAAGCACACTGCCCTGCACAAACGGGAAATCTGAGAATACCTTCTTCTCGCTGATGTCCCGGCCCCCGCTGGCCACGGCATCCATTACCCGGCGCAAACTCCCCCTCCTTGCTTTGTGAGCAGGCCTAGAAAACGGAGTCACTGAGATTCATAGGTGACCCGACCGATTCTGCAAGATGTACAGAAACCTTTTAAATCTCCCCCAAACAGAGGGGACGTTTTCAGATATTTCTTCTCCTGATAACAGAGAGAAGGTGGAGTAGAACTGAGAGGACCTAAGTCAGCTGAGATCAGTTTTCATTTCATTCACAACATCTGACTTCCCAGCTGTCAGGTGCTTGAGCAGAGCTTCCGGACCCGGCCAGAATCGCTTGGGATAAAATCCACATGGCCAGTCCCATCCTGGGAGACTCAGATTCAGTAGATGAGAGGTGAGTGGGGACAGGGACCTATTTTTAGCAAGCTCCCCAGGGGATTCTGATAGAAATAAATATGGAATTGGGAACCTGGCTGTTCGATCTACGTGGAGGCAAACACTCGGTCTTCATTCTCCCTCTGCCTCATGCTAATTCCTAAAAAATAAACGCAACAAGTAAATAAAGACAGTTTTCAAGATGTTCATGGAATGATTTTTTTTTTTACATTTTTCAACTAGTTAGGACAAAAACATTACAATGATTGACTTCTTTCATTTAGTTACATAAATAAAATTTTTATAAATATCTCTTTATAAACAATATAAATAGCTTTACAACATAAATACATTTATGCATGACATGAATTTACAAACAGCAATGTTTTACAGCTGGTTTTGTCAGTCTCTTAAAAACTGTCCCTTGTCATCAAGTCGGTGTAGGTGTGTGTTTCACGTATATAATATATATATAATATATAACTTTTTATTTTTCATTAAAAAAAAAAACCCAAACAATAAAATCACACCCCCCCTCCCTAAATAATAATAAAACAGCTGGTGTCGTGTATTCCCAGTACCAGGGGAAAAAAAAGAAATGTAAAAGCCACATTGCGTTGGAGGTGTTTCCAGATGCTGGAGGCGGATGACCAAGGATGACCTCAGCTCAACAGAGCCAGTTCCCAATCCTGAAACACAGAGTGGACATGGGACACTCAGTTCTGGCCCTTTAGCTGAGAAAGCCCAGCCTGCAGGGCAGTTCTAGAACCTTCCTCCCCTTTCCCCTGAGCAGCATGGGCAATGTCCCTCCACCTTTGCTCCACAGGGCCCTGACAAAGGCCTTCCTGTAGAGGGGAGGGGCCTTTCCCTCCCGTGCTGCCTAGGCCCCCATCTTCTGCTGTGCCCGCGGCACTGGCTGCGCCAGCACAGGTGGGACCAGGATCCCTGCCAGCCCTCCTCCCTCTCAGTCAAACTTACAGGCCGTGCCCTTGGCACTCGGTGAGGCACAGTGAGGGAAAGAGAATGGAACACTCCCGTCCCTTTAGCACGACACGAACCCTCAGTCAGGCGCTCACCTCTGCTTTACGTGTCTGGGTGACCGCAGTGGAAAGGGGAAAAGAAACAGCTCAAATCCCAACTCTGACACGATTCCCTAGATGGCCCCAATAGCTTTGACTGTCACTTTCCTTGCCCATAAAATGGGATAATAGCCACCTCCCAGCGTTGGCTTTAAGATTAAACAGGGGGCCACATATCGGGCATTGGCAGTGGCTGGGTCACAACCACCACCCAGTAAACAGCACTTCCTTCTATAGCTGGCTTTGCTGCAGAAAGGGTCCAGGGTCCCTTGCAGAAGCAGAGGAGCTGATGTCTCCCACAGCCCCGGGGAGTGAGCAGTCACGCTGGGCTGGGGGTTGAGAGTCTTCCGCGGAGTGCCGTCCTGCTAATGGATGCGCGGGAGCTCCAGGCCCTGAGGAAGGCGTCCTCCCAAAGGTCAGCATGCACAGAGGGACCCTAGGCCAGAATGGCTTGGCGAACTCTCCCTCAACCCCTTCTCTGGCTCTTCCATGTGTTTAAACAGATGACAGATGTCTGTGATGTTCTTGGGGCCCAGGGGCAAAGTGTTCATTCAGGTATCAGCCTGACACCCTGTCTCTGTCATTAGCATTTTATAATCAAGACCTATAACCATCAGGGACAGTCATTATGGTGGTGCTTAGAGCCCAAGTCAACCCACAAGTGGAGAAAAGGCCATAACCTCAGAAGAGTTTTAATTAGTGTGAAAAATCTAAGCTATCTTCGTCTTTAAGTGCAGACAGCGATCTATCCTGGGCATTGCCACCAGGAGCCTGCGGGTACAGGAAGGATGCTCTGCTCTCTCACTGGGGGTGCGGTTGGGAGGGCTAAGGGTGTAGGAGGTGGATGCTCATCGATGCTAAGAGAACTTCCAGGAGGTTGACTCATTCCTTTGGTCAAAAGGGCCAAGAAGTCTCAGCAATCTGGATTCTTCCATGTCCACACAGCCTCCCTCACCACCCACGTGGCCATCCCCTCGTGCCCACAGACAGCCATGCCCAAGAACAAGGCACCTGCAGGCACTAACCCCTGGAAGGTTAACTAACATTTGTTTAGATTGTAAAGTTTGAGCTTAATGATTAAATCAAACAACATTTGAGGCCCTGAAATCCATCTCTTCGTTGTTTGGACAGGAGAGAAGACAGCAGAGACATTCTGATGGTAGCTACCAACGGCTGACCCCCCAGTGTCAGAATCACTTCTCTCCCTGTGCAGGGGAGAGGCAAGATAACAGACAACTGAAACCTCTGCAGAATGGGGGAAGCACACAGCCCAGCGACGTCCTGCTGCAGAGAGAGGAAGGGGCCGGTTAACACCTAGGGCAGGTGGCAGAGGCTGTGGGCTAGGGCCTGCAGGTTCCTCTGGTCACGGACAAATATTTCTGAGAGCCTGCTGGGGGTGCTGGTGGTCCTGGATTGCCTTAGGCCAGCACTTGGCCCTTAAGTTGTTCATGACTTCATATGGGGAAGTGAATAGGTTCACAAAAAGCTATACCTCAGGTGAAAAAGTGTTCTGCATTGTAAAAAAGATTTAGGTGACGCTCTGGAGAGGCGCCCTTGATTCCCGCTTGGGGAAGACTGGACATGGGCAAGGCTTTCTGCGCGGAGAGAGCAACCCCCCCAAGGTTGGGGTGGGACAGGCAATGGCAGCAGCTGGGCTGGAGGCAAGGCTAGAAAGCAGCAGGAGCCTGACCCTCATGCACGCGAATGCCAGTGTCAGGAGTTAGGGTGTTGTTATTCCATGGACACTGGCAGGCAGCAGGAACAGGGAGAAGGGAAGAAGAGGTGAGCATCTTTGCAGCAGTAACCTGCCACCATGAGGCACCTGGTGGGGCCCACAGCAGGACAGAGGTCTCCAGCCCTAGCAGGTGAGGAGGCCTCGCCAGAAACAGAGAGTTCAGAGCACAAGTTGCGTGTGGGAGAGGGTTGGTGGGAACCCTGTGCTGGACATGTTGAATTTGAGGTTGGGGCAAAGAATAAGATTTATTTGTCTTTTCTTTTCCTTGTCCTGAAATAATGCCACAAACACCGAGGTTCACCCCTGAAGCCACAGGGCTGCAGCAGGACCCTGGACAGACTAGTTTGCCTACGGCCAGGTTGGGAGAAGGGGCAAGAATGGGAATGCCCCAGTGGAAGAGCCCTCTGGCGGAGCGCTGGTGGAGGGCTATCCTCTCCACTGTGCCACTTCAGGGACAAAAGGCCCAGGAGGCCATCCTGATGGGCTTGGCTACCTGCTGCCACTGCACCGTGTGCACGGTGGTTGGCAGACAAACTTACCCTGGGTCCCTGGGTATGCCTTTCCTCCTCTGCTCCCACAAATCCATGGTCTCCCTCAATCCGCCACCCCCAAGTTGGCGCATTGAGGCCAATGCTGCTAGTTCGACTATGGTGAGGGGGTGGGTGGGACCCCACCAAGCCTGTTTCTTCTCCTCCGGAGGAAGCCAAGTGGGTTCATCCAGGCTGAGCCATTTCTGACCTTGCCAAAGTTCCCTGACCACTTTATCCTTCACTTTCTTCATCTGTGAAATGGGATGATCAATGGGGTGGCGGGCAAATGCCTAGCACACACTCCATCAATGCCGGATCGCCTGGCTCGCCTCCAAAGGCCGGCTGGGAGGCGCAAGGGGCAAGGGTCCCAGGGGCAGGGGCAAGAGCGAGGCGCGCGGGAGCGCCAGGCGGCCGGGGTTGCGGGTACTCACCGCCGCCAGGGGTCGCCGCACTAACATCCCAGGCCGCTCATGGAGCCGATCCGGTCCAGCTTGAGGCCGAAGCAGCCCTTTGACAAGCCCTTCTTGTTGGCTCCTTTGTACTTGCGCGCGTTGGGGTGCTCGTGCAGAAGGCGGGCCCACGCCGTTCGCGACTTGTTGTCCACGCGCAGGTCCCGGAGCAGTCGCGACCGGTCGCCCTTGAGGTTGGCGCCACTGCCCCCAGGAGTCTTGTCGCCCTTCTTCTGACCGCCGCCCGCAGCCTGGGGCTCAGCCACCTCCTCTCCCGGCGGGGTTCGCGGGACCTGTCGGAGAAAAGAGAGAGCAGGTGAAGGGACGCCCGGCTGCAGCGCGGGGGACTTTGCGGAGCCCCTGATGCTCCAGCGCGACGCTCCGCGAGCTCGGAGTGTGCCCCACCGATGCCGGCCAGCTCGGCCCGGCATCCACCTGCCACGCGGCCGCCGTTGTCCACTGCTTCTGGGAGCCCCTTGCCCTCCCCTCCTTTGCCGCTTGCCCGGCTGGCCACGCTGGGGCAGGGGGGCTGCGCATGTGTCGACGTTCTCCCGAGGCTGGGGGAGCAGACCCCGCGCGTCCGGGCTGCGCGGGCTCCCGGCTCTCACCTGCGCGCATCTCGGGGGAGAGGGCAGCCTTCCCGCCCTCTCATCTCCCTCCTGCGCGCCGCATCCTCCCGGGTCCACAGCCTCCCACGCCCCTCACGGCCCGGCGTCCCCGCGACAGCACCCACCTTTGGCGGCGCCCCGGGCTTGGCTTCGGAGGGCCGGAGCGAGAGTAGCGTGAGCAGCAGGGCGCAGGCCAGCAGCTGGGAGAGGTGCATGGTGCTGGTGGGGTCGAGGGGCGCAGACCGGCTGCAGCGAGGGTGCACCGGGCCGGCGGGCAGAGGGGCAGGCCGTGCCGAGCGGGCTGGCCGGGCTGCAGGACGAGCGCTGGTCCCAGTGCTGCGCGGCGCCGGCTGGGTGCGCTCTGAGCCCGTGACTCCGCTCGCGCCTTTATAATCCAACCTGCCGCTGATGTCATCCTCCCGCCCACCCGGCAGCCCGGGCCAATGGCACCGCGCACGCGGCCGCGCCGAGGGCCGGGAGGGGGCCCCCGCGGCCCCCACCCTCATCCCACTCCCGAGGGATCCCGCGGCTCTGCGGGCTTGCTCCGGGCTGCACTCGGAGCCGCAAAGCGGCGCGCCCCGGGGAAGTCAGTTTGCAGCTTACGCGCGCCCTGGCATGCCAAGCGTCGGTGCCCCGGTGCCCTGGGCACCCGCTGGGTCCTCGCCACACGCGCTCTACCTGAAAGGGATCCATATCCCTCTTTGCAGGTGCAAAGACAGGCTCAGAGGAATTAAGTCACTTGCCCAAAGTCACACAACCAAAAAGTTGGCGCTGCCCTAAATCCACGCAGATCTGCCTTGTTGCCAAAGTCTTCCCTGGGCACCTGGCATTGCGGCCCCACGGTTTATCTGCTCGCCAGGGCGGGAGTGCAGACCACATCAACGCCATTAGGTCGAGGAGACAGAGGATGGGGCTGGAGGTCCAGGCGGGAGACGCAGGGGAAGCTGAGTTTGCCCCGGGCCGCAGGGGGGAGCAAAAGTCTTCCACGCTGGAGAGTGCAAGCGTTTCGCCAGCCTGTGTGTTTGAGCGCGAGCCCGGAACCATGGGGATGCGAGGGCAGACCCAAGATACCGAGGACCTTGAGTGTGTGCGGGGGCATCGTGTGCCCGCCGCTGTGGCTCTAACTTTGCGCTCATCCCAGGCTAGCCGCACAGAACGTCCCCCGGTCTAACCTGGACAGTGGCTTCCGTCTGCACGGACCAGTATGCGCCTGACCCTGCCTGCACCCAAGCGAGGATCCGCAGCGTGGGGGGCCCCGCTCCGGTGTCCCGTCCACCTGCACAGGTTGAGGAGGGAGCTTTACCCAGCCCCAAGCCCGGGTTAGCCTCTGTGAGAGGGGACGGGTGGTCAACTTGGCGGTTTGGGCTGCAGAGAGGTCAGGGCACGGCCACATATCCCTGCTGCTCATGAACTCCCTCTCCTTGGGCCGGGCGTCTCCCTCCCGCTGGCTCCGGGGAATCCCCCCGTATGGGCGCAGAGACTGACAGCCTGGAACCCCAAGAACTGAATGAGGTGCAGGAATCTATAACCCACTGCTGCTGGGCAGGATGCAGGCTGGAGAGGGGAGAGCAAACGTCGTGGCCACAGGGACGCGGTGGCAGTCCCTAGGAATGAAGACGATCCCCTGGGAGGCGGGCAGCCAAGTAAGATTTTTCAGGAAGAAAAAGTTGCACCTGAGGTGGGAGAGCGGCTGGAGTCAAGAGGGGCCAGCAGACTCTCACAGTGGAGCCTGGTCTCAAAGCCGAGAGCGCAGCGGCATCATCATCTGCTCTGTCAGCCCTATTCTCCCGTGGCCCCTTCCCGCCCTCACACCTTGAGTCAGGGAGGTCTGAGTTTGGGGCAGCAGAATCTCCGGATCTGCAGGGAGATCTGGACACTACCAGGGCGTCCTTTGTCAGTTCTGGGGAGCTGACTCCCCACCTCCCCACTGCTTCTCCACATTAGCCCCCGTGGAGCGGCACTGCTCTCCATGTGAGGAGAAGGGAAGAGGACCAAGCATGGGGAAGAGGGAGGGATCTCCGGGTGGGCCGTGGAAGTTCCCTCTCCTTTTTGCCTATTGGACGAAGAGGGATGTTACCATTTGGAACTCCGACACTTGCTTTATTTATACCTGTTTAAAGAGCCCAGGCAGAGCCAGATTGACTCTAGAGTCAGGCACAGGGCCGGTTTGCGGGAGCCAGCAGCTACCTCCTCTAAAGCCCCTGATTAAGGGCAGGTCGGAAGCTTCCGGTGCTCATGGCTGCCTCCTTCTGCCCGGATGCCTACTGGCTGGTTCTTCCTGTCTTCTGTATCCCTGGACACACTCGATGTGTTCAGGACTCCAGGTCATAGCCTGGTGAATGACTAGGTCACACCTCCATTTGAGCTTTGAGGCTAAATTAACAAAACTGACACCCCCAACCCAGTGTGGCAGAGCCAACACCCTGGACTCCACTTCCCCTCTTTGGAAGGAGACTTCGGCTGAGCCACACTTCTGACCACAGGACTATGGTGGTTTAAGGCAGACTGGATCCTGGGAGAGCTGACTGTGGAGTGAGCCGTCCCTGGGGCAGGCCGTGGGGCAGCTTCCGCTTAGCTGGGGCCTGGGACGGGGGTGGGGGGTGGGGGGTGAGAGTCAGAGGACTGGGCTGGGGACCTCAGGGAGGGAGGGAGTCAGCACACACCTGTCCTTTGGTCTTCCTGAGTGGGGAGCTGCAGAGGAGGCTCTTTCTCCATCCTGGGCCTAGACTTGGGACTCAAGTCCTTTCCCGCTGCTTGTCCCTCATGATGACAGTTTCTTCTGCCCTCGGCTGCCAGGGGCCTGGCCTGGAAAGGTTGGACCTACTGAGCAGCTGAATGTGAGCTGTTTAGGGCACTTTGTTGATTGCTCAATTTTAAATCTTCTCCTGATGGCAAAAGAGGGAGAAAAGGCCATTGGGAATCCTGTCATTTGTCACTTACCCACTCACTGATCCCCCAAGTGTCCACTGAGCACCCCTGCAGGCTGCAGACTTCCACCCCAGCAGGGAAGGACCCCAGGAAATTGCTGGCATTGTAGGCTGACAAGGACAGCGACAGACAGCAGGGCAGCTCAGGCTCACCCCAAGAGGGCTCCCCCAGCCTGGGCTAGCAGGGTGGGCTTCCTGGAGAAGGAAAGGTCATTCCTGAGCCTGATAACACGGGGAGAATAGGGAAGAGAGGAGAACCCAGATGGAAAACAGTGACTCCCTGTGGGCAACAGTGGAACGTGCCGCACACGCTGAGGGAGGCCATACAAGCCAAAGACCCAGTGAGAGGCCTGGCCAAAGGGCGACACAGAGGGAAGTGGGGTCAGCGAAGTTGCAGCACCCAGAGTGCCCAGACCTAGGGACAGTGGGGGGCTTCGGGTAGGGCTCTAGGCTCGGGATAGAGGCAATTCTGGGGTTGGTGGCATCCTGCAGGTAGAAGACATGAAAGAGGGGGCCTACTGTGCTCCTGGGGGTGGGGAGTGCAGGGAAGCCCATGGGGGGCATGAAAGGTGAGGCGGGGGAGCGCGGTGAGCTGGAAGGCAGCTGTGGGAGGGAAGGTGCAGGGTGCCAACCCCCAAGCATCAGAGGGTCACGTGGGTGGGACCCTTCTCTCCCTCCTGGTCCTCTGAAGGGTGGGGACATGGAAAGAAAAGGCCCCATTCTGTGAGCCCCTCTTCACTCTTTCCCCTCCTCCAGAAGCGCAAAATAAGACTCTCTTGCCCACCACAGAGGGCCCTTCCTGGGGACAGGCAGTGACCAGGCCAGAAGCAGAACAGGACGAGATGCAAAATGAGAATGGGCCCCGATCAGGGTGGCTGGGGTGAGAGAGGTGTGTGTAAGGGCTTCTACGAGGCTGGGGAAGGGGTGGCTAAGACAGGACCGTCCCGCTGGGTCCCTGCAGGTGGGAACCAGCCCCTGTGGAGCAGCGCCCCCTCCTGGCCCCGGGGCGGCAGGGCAGGGTTCTCAGGCACACTGGCGGGGAGGGCTGCCGAGCCGCCCATCTGTTTTCCTCTGCAATTAGTTCATCCCTGGGGCCTCCTTCCAGCTGCATAACTTCTCAGAGAGGACACTAAACAGGCGGTGAGCAGTTCTTGAGGAGGCCAGGCAGGAAAATTGCAGCGGGACTCCAACCAAGTCCCTTCACTGCGTGGGGCCTTGAGTGTCACCATCTGTAATTGGGAAAAGATCGTCCTCCTGGAGGGGGCAGAGAGAACTCAGAGGCCCGATGGGAGGCTTCTGACCCCTGGCAGAAGGGAGCAGGAAGCAGCTGAGGCAGAAGAGGGATCTGAACGTCGCGGCAGGTTGGCCGCACGTACACACACTTCCACGCCAGAGGACCCGGCAACCCCTGAGATTCCCAAGACCGTTTTGTGGGTGCAGCCACTTAGAGGACACAGAAGCCACAGCCTGGTTAGATCTCCCTGAGCTTGGTACCTTCCTCCAGGAGTCCCGCACCCACGGGCCTGCCTTGGGGGAGGAGCTGGAGGCTCCTTGGCGGGCCAGAAATTCCAGGAAAGCTTAACCTCATCATGCCACGGGTCTGTCTGACCTCAGAACACCCCCACCTGACGAGCCAGCTGCCCTCCTTCCCTTTCCCAGGGGCCCTGCCAGCACCTGCTCCAGATGGCCTCCAACCCCCCTGTCCTACGCAGGCCCATGACGTCAGCGTTTATCCCTCTTTTTTTTTTTTTTCCCCCTTGTCAAAAAGAAAAGATAGGTCCTCAACAGATAGGCTCAGTTCTGGGGGGGACAACTGCTCTCCATCTGGCTGTCAACAGGCAGGTGAGGGGGGTAGGGCTGAGGCCTTGATCCTGAGAAAGTGAGCAGGGCAGTGGGTGAGAGGGGGCTCCCCATCGGAACACAGCTCAGCACCCCAAACTCAGCACAGAGCCAGCACCAGATGTTCACAGAGGTTATCGCTCTGCTGCCAGGCTCTTGCCCTGGGGACAAGGGCTTGCCTTGGCTGGGCTCCGGCAAAATGTTGCTCATACGGAGCTTTCCCAAACAGTGCGCCACTCCTTTCCTGCTCTGGGGTCCCTGCAGCAAATCCATCTTCTTGGTTTGTACCTGGAGGAGGGTGTCTATTGTTTGGTCTTGCAGACCTTTGTTTCAGATTTGGTAGAGACCAGTCTTCAAGGAGGGGGCTTCTCCCTGTAGATAGAAGGGACCCTCAAGTATCTTACAGAAGCCCCCTAGCTCAGCACCTTCACAGAAGGGATCACAGGATAAGCTTGCTAGAATCCAGGAACACCAGTCACCTCGGGGGAGCCACGACTCTGGGGTTTCTAAGCCAGAAACATCGAAGAGGGTGTCATCGGCCACTGCTGCCTGGTGAGTGGTCAATCTCTAAAATGAGAATGACCAGAAAACACTAGTA